CCCACTCTTTCCTTGGCGCTTGCATTACAATCGATAATTCTCGAATTGAGTAACCCGCGAAGAGCTTTATTAACCTCACACACAACGGGTAAATAAATTGGCCAATCGTGCATAGCGGGCTCTCCGACTGAGACCTCCATGTTAACTACTTGGGTGTTATGCGGGTCTTGCCAAAACAACCGGGGTACCTGTGAGGCAACCGAAACTATCCACTTCTGCCAGCTCAGAGCTGTTTTAATTTAAGACCATCCCTCAAATGTCACTCGCATTCCAAACTCTTATCCCATCCACAAATGTCTCGCCTTTTTACCCGTCCCAATTAACCTCTTCCCCCTTCATCGCCATTCCTCCTAGTGTTATCCTACCACTGGGGGAAAATGCGAAAAATCGGAAAACCCCATTCTCGGCTTTTCCCTGCCTGACACTGGTTTTTTTTTATTTATTAATGCACTCAGAGTCACTCAGAAATGCTCAAACGGTGACGAAACGAGTGTTGGTTAGTCTTCGGAGAGTCGACCCACATTTATAAATAGACAAAACCACACTCGTCCTCTGCATATCGCTGGGTTGTTAGGTAAAAGACGATTTTGGTATTCTAAATTGAATTTGCACATCTAAATTTGCCAATGTAAATCGCTAAAAAAAAATCATATCCCATCAGAATTGACCGGCCAGTGATGACGCGGTAGTCCGGGAATTCGCCTGTAATTGTTAAAAAAAAAAGGATGAAGTTTTTCCTGAGTAGAACAGGAGAAAATCGTCAATTAATTTGTTATAGATCGGTTGTCGATCGGTATACTGCTACAGGAAATTAGAAAGGAGTTAATTACACCAGGTTGAAACGGGTTAATTTCACGGAGAAATGTCGCAAACTGAAAAATCTGTCATATAATTAATAATAAATTCTGAAATTGAACATTGAATAATTGTCAATGAAATCGATCTAGAATCACGACCTTGACTAGTTCCACACGTGTCGTTGGGTTATTAAACGACAAAGCCATAATCGTCCAGTGGTTTTTCTTATCAACGCTATTATTTATGACCCCCACGTACATTTTATGAACAATACTGCATTGGATTGTAAATTGAGTAACCAAGAGTGGAAAAATGAAACATTTTAGACGTGAAATTACTCCGGTGAAATAAAATGTCACTTGTCACAAACACCGAGAGGTCATGTGAATGTTTTAGTTGAAATATTTATTTTTAAGTTTCACTTGATCTCAATTAATGACACTTGGACTTAGTCATAGTCAATTGGCAAGGGTAATTAGTAAGGCTTTATTGACGTGATTTTGATAACGAAAAATGCATTAGCACTGCGAGTGCTTCAATGGAATATTACCGGATTATTTTGAAGCTTTTGCAATTCATCGAGAGTTTCATTGATCGATGAAATCGATATAAATGATCTATAAAAAATTAGTTGACAATTTTTGACGATTCATCGAACGAAATCATCATTACGTTCTCGATGTAAATATCAAATTACCTCGATTTTTAAGAAACTCATAAAAAAAATTATCAGCCGTTGAAAATTTTATCTCGTGTGCGTCATAAAATCAGTGAATAATGCCCTGTAATAAAACTAAAACTAATTTACCATAAATGTAGTTTTTAAAGTACAGATGAGTCCAACACACTTGACAATTTATCGTTTAAATTATATTTGAAATAAGTATTTGGCAAGAGTCTGTGTCTTCCTGACTGCAAATTACCCGACCTCGTCCCACCCCCTTCTCATCCTCCCAGTGAAGAAAGAGGTGATATATTTTCTGCAACATTTGCCAGTGCAGTTGTTATTAAATCGCCTGTGACATAACGTCTCAATGCTATCGTAAACATCTGAAATGAAAAATAATCAATTGAATTGAGTAATCCTCTTCTCTTTATTCCTCACTCCATTATTTATTTATTTATTCATTGGTTTTGTGGTGCACTTTATTTCATTGGATACACCGCAGTTTCCCTAAACAATTTTTTCTTTGTAAAATACTCATTGTTTTTCATTTATTTGTTTATAATAATAATTACGTACTCACGCGTTCAATTATCGCTTCGACTGATCCGGAAATTTTTCCGCAAAAACAAAAGTGCGATTGGCCTAAAGCCGATGATCTAGAATGATCTTTGGAATTATTTACGATTTTGGTGGGATCTAGCGATCGATAAATGATCTATAGAAGTGGATACTGGATTTTCTCCAGATCCTCTGGTGGAAAATGGATAATTTTTTTTTCAAATCCAGCTCAAATTTTCCGATCTATCTGCTGGGGTAATTATCGGCCCCATATAATCAACGCGTCCGATTCCGCGATTGAGGTTTTCAATAGCTACTCAAATTTCACAGCAAAAAGGACGGGGAATTGAAATACATTGCGTCCAGTTGTACTCAGGAATTGCTTGTATTGCGTAATGCGACTTCTCTGGCGTGTGTAGTGTACATATGAAGGCCTCGGGACGACCGTGGCCGTATACTTGTTACTCCAGTGGTTATAACCTGTGTTTTACCGACACACTTGTGTGCGGTTAAAAAAAGACGAGAGTCTTTTGAATTTTCCAAAAATTTCCATTAACTTTGTCGGTCAATTAGTGATGAATGTCCCGAGGGGAGGATAAAAAAAGATTGGAAGTGATAAGGGGCGAAGGTAATTCCCGTGAGAGTGATAAGAATCCAAGGTGGAAGAGACTTTCTTACTTTATCGTTTTTTCTCACAATATCGATACGTTATATCGATAGATAATTCATCAATTATCGAATCGATTATAAAACATCGCGAATCGACGAGTCGGGAAATTTACCCACATTTTGAAAAAAAAACGACGTCTCTAGCTACCGTAGAACCCGAGTTACAGTGAAAAATGTAGAGGTGATCTAGCGCTTGATGATCTAAAATGATCTAGATAAGCGTTTGGGATTTTTCGAGGACCTACTGGGGCAAAATTATTCGGCTCAAATCAATTCAGTGGGGAATATATCTGGCTATCCGATGGAGTTATTTGCAACGCATTTCGTCACGGTTATGTTGAATTGATCTAGCGATGGATAAATGATCTATAAGAATGAATTTAGGATTTTCTCTCGATCTACTGAAGCGAAACACCTCGTCTTTTTTTTAATTCCGCCTCTTTTTTTCCGATCTATCGAATGAAGCCATTCTTACAATTCCCTCACTTCCTGTTTTCAAAACTATCCAATATTTGTATTAAAAAAATCATTTTCTCCATTTTTTTCGTTACCAAAATCACCGGAAAATCAGTAAATTAACGCATCCTCCGGAAACGCCAATGATGATAATCTGACAAAAAAATAACTAGGACCTTGATTTGCATTTCCTGATGCACTCAATCACTACTAAAAATCGTTTCCCATTCACGTAAAATCTCAAGGATTTTATTCATTGATGCGCCCCTCGTACCGAACAATTTTCATTTTTCTCAATCCATCTATTAACGAATGAAGGAAGTACGAAAAAAATTACCCCCGTGAAGAGTGCGTATACTCACTCGATTTCATTCATTTGCTGGATAATCGTCTTGTTCCTGTTTGCAGTTAACTCAGGGCCGTAACAAGCAGCGCGTGCTGTCAAGGTCCCTCAACAATTCTAGCCGCTAGATTCACTCGTTTTCACCGGCAAAATCTGAATTTCCGTGGATCAATCTGTTCTCAACCTCGAGGAAATGGTTCAGACAAATTGACTCCATTCTTACGAACAATAAGTCTATTATCTCGTGACCCACTGAACCGATTTAAATCGAAATTCCCCTCCAGACTCGGGAAATTCACCCGTACCTTTCAAAAACAAAAATCCATGTTGCCTCGGTCGCTCCTGTTTTGCTAAATATTCCACTTCCGGTAGTTTTGGTTGATCCACTTCCGGGTGCATTCACTTTTTCGCTGATACCCCGATTCGCATGCGGGCGATTGAAAAAAAAAAATACAAAATTTCGTGAAAAGTTTTTCGCACTTAAATGGTTTGAATTGAATTACTCGCGTTATTCGAGAAGTAGAGAAATTGGGGAGAATCCAGACAGTGAACTCTTCAATCACTCGGGAATTCCTGGATGTGTGTTTTATTTTCACAATTTTTGTTATAAAATATCAAAAGAAATGTGTGCCAATGCCAAATGTCACCTGTTGACACCACCTCAATGTCTCTGAAATTTTGTTGACACCAGTGGCAACCAGAGAATCCTTTGTTCGTGTCTCGAATCGAAGAAGTAATATAACAATTCACATTTATTTCTCAATGTTATTTATTTTTTTTTGAAAGGTGGGCAGAATTGCTCGTGTCAATGCACTCTTCCTCCTTCGGCTTTTACCTTCTTTCCGTGTCACACCTTTTTATACACGGAACACTGCTTGGTAGAGAAAGACAACCGGAAGTCAGATTAAAACCCGGAGTGAAGAATAAAATGGTGAATCATCAGAAAAGAAAAAAAAACCGTATCTTTTTTTGGATATCTCTCGTTGCCCTCCCGAAAAATACCAAAAAAAAACTAATATATTTTTTATAAATTCAGAAAATATATTCAATTGGCCAATATCATATATATTAATATATATAT